TCCCTCCTCCCACCTCAAGTCCCACCCCCATCTCCTACCTACTAGCCTCATCCCGTCCCCTTGACCTGTCCGTCCTCCTTGGACTGACCTATCCCCTCCCTAACTCCCCACCTACACTCACCTTTACTGGCTCCATCCCCGCCTCTTTGACCTGTCTGTCTCCTCTCCACCTATCTTTTCCTCTATCCATCTTCTATCCGCCTCCCCCTCTCTCCCTATTTATTTCAGAACCCCCTTCCCCTCCCCCATTTCTGAAGACGGGTCTAGGCCCGAAACGTCAGCTATTCTTTTTGCGATATGCCTGTACATGACAACATGGAATACTTAGGCAGGAAAAGAAGTCTGCTTTGAAAAGCTAATGTTGAACAACGCAAACAAAACAAAAAAAAAACTTTTGGATATTCACATTTAATAGTACATCTATTCATCACCTGTACCATTGGTGCATAATTAACAGCAAATCTGTTAGGTTTACTGTTATTTTGACAACAAATTCTGGTCCAATATCCCTGCCTCTGGTCCATGCTTACTATATGCACAACCACCCTGCTGAGTGAATGTTCTTGTGGCTTCTCCTCACAAAAGTCCCTCCAATTAACATGCTTCTAATCCCAACATTAGGTTGGCATCACTTCAGTGTGAAACACTAATACAAGTGTACTTCTTCTGCAGGTTTCCTTGTTGAATTACGTTTTCTTAATTTCATGGGCCTTTGCTTTGCCTTATGTCAAGCTACGTCCACTGGCATCAAGTGTCTGCACAGTCATGACTTGTATAATCATTGTGTGTAAGATGTTGTACCAACTATCTTCTGTTCAGCCTTCCAACCACTCTTCTAACTGTACAATTGTAAGTATATAATTTAACTTTTTTATTTATGTTCCTATAATTTAAATTGTTCACTATTACCTGGAATAGGTTCTTATGAATGCAGAATGTTATATCAACAGAGACCCCGGTCTTTGGCCTTGTCCATTATCCACATCTCCACCATTTATTTTATTTGAAATGGGCCTGAAAATTGCAGAACCAGAGGATTGTTATGATGTAGAAGGAACACCATTCAGCCCATCATCACTGGCTTTCTGAGCATTTTGACTTAGTCCCAAACTCCTGTCATTTCCCCATAGCATTGTTTCTATTTAAATAATCATCCAATACACTCTTGACTGCCTCACATGAACCTGCCTCTACCACACTTCCAGAGAGTGCATTCCAAACCCAGAAACATATGGAATTAAAGGACAGTAAAAGACCATCTAATTCCTCAAACTTATTCCACACTATGATATTATTTTACAGCCTACAGCTGGACATGTTTTCGTTAGAAGGACACATAAAGTATGATGGGTGATTGATTAACCATCTTCCTATCCACCCCCATGCATTTCCCACAATTCAGAGAGATGGATAGACATCCCTTAAGCTGCCTGTCATTGGACCTTTCTGGCCATTAATCCTGTTTAATTAAGCTGTTTCTTTTCAATATATTGAAAAAACAGGAAGTGTTCTTTCAAGGGTGCACTATACACGTTAGGGGGGCACACTTCTCTTCTCCCACACCTATCTCCTTTGTTTCTCCCCAGCTAGTCTTCAGAACCCACCACCCAGCTCATCACCCCTCACTCTTTAGTTTGCCTAATCCCTTCCTGCTCGAAAAGCCCAGGACATACCTTTGTACAGGATTCTTCAACAATCATTGTGCCCCTTCTTACAGACTCAGTAGCATTCCACCACAGAGTTTTAATAATGCTGGGACTACTAGATTGAATGTATTGGTTGGACTTTTTGTTCACTGAGAAGCAAAAGTTTGACCTTCAGCCTCTTCAGGCTACTGACATCTTCATATTATTGCTGTGGAACAGGCTTTTTTAGAAGTTGATTGGTTTGGAACTGATTTTCTTTCTGTGAAAGGTAGCAGTACACCAAATTATCTTGGCTAAGAATTTCATCATGACTCCGGAAAAACGCATTGAGAAATTATCCAAAAGACTTACAACGGTCAAAGCTCACACCACAGAAGGAGGCCTTTTGTCTCTATGTTGATTCTTTACTAGAACAACACAAACCCAATCTCACAACCCTTTTCTTTACCAACTTTTCTGCACCTTCCTCGGCTTGAGATGCTCATCTTTTCTTCCCTTAACAGATACAGTAGACTCTGTCTCAAAGCAAATATATATTACAATGTCAGAGTGTACAGATTTATGAATATATCATATTATATATTCATTCTATTTTAGTAGAACATTCTAGAATATATCCTGCAATATTAACCAAAACTTTAATGGCCAGAGAGGGAGTGTGATTAAGCCCAAAAAAAGTGACAACTAGTTTGCAGCCTGAAATGATCCCACCCACTTCTGGGTTTGGTTTGGACGGATTTGTTTGACAGGACAGTCTATAAGCACCAATGACCAGAAGGCTTACATTTTCACCACTGGTTACTGCTAATTTCTGCAGCCTCCTGGAAGAAGATTTCCTTCCCAGTGAACCAGGAGTGCATCTACTGCCACTGTCTAACAAGGTGACTAACTTAATCCCAGAATTTGGTTTTCTACCTCTCCCAAGATCTTTGCAAAGTGTTGCGCTACCAGGAGAGAAAGCGAAGAATTGCGAGTGTGTGCAAAGTATCATGCAGGTAGGAGAGTAATAAGTTGAAAGAAAAGCATATAAAGTGGCCAAGTCAGTGATAGCTCTGAAGACTGGGATAAATTCAGAAACCAGTAAAGCGGACTAGAAAGATGATAAAGACAAAGAAAATAAACTACGGGGGCAAACTAGCAAGGGATGTACAAACAGTCAATTAGACCTTCTTTAAATATATAAAAATGAGGAGAGAAATCAAAGTGAACATAGGCCGCTTAGAATTAGGGGAGACCATTCCGGGGAACATGGGAATAGCACAGCAGTTAAATAGAGCTTTTGCATCAGTCTTTGCAATGAAAGATACATCAAGTAATGGTGGATGTTAAGTACCACCATCATCACTAAAGATTAGTAGTCAACAAAGTAATGGAGCTAACGGCGAATAGGTCCCCTGGCCCCTGATGGGTTGCAACCAAGATTCCTAAATGAGGTAGTGACAGAGATAGCAGATATATTGGTTGTAATTTTCCAAATTCTTTTGATTCTGGAGAAGTGCCTGGAGATTGGAAAACTGCCAATTTGACATGTCTATTTATTATAGACCAGACCAAAGTTCCCTCAAAATATATTAAGAAGATAGCCTAGACTCCCAACCTTTTCTTATTTTTAAAGGCAAATATAAGATGATGTGTCCCCGATACAATTTGATTGGTCAAACTACCAGGCTTGAAGCAAAACATATTTTATTCTTACACTACACTTAAAATAAAAACAAAAGAGAGAAGAATTAGAGTAACAACTGTATTGAAAACTTAACAGAAAATAGATTATTTAACTACTAAACAGCAACTACTACAACATAGTAACATCCCATTAGCACACCGTTGGCAAAGGCAAATTCAGTGAAACAGATTGTCTCATGCAATTTCCAGTCCAAAAGGAAAGAACATTGATAAAACACTGAGAGAGAGAGAACTCCGGCATTTTGCTGTCACAGGAAGAGATGTATAGCAGCTTCCAAACCTCAACAGCCACTGAAAGTTAAACTGAAATCCTGGTTCTGTGGGAGCTTGATCCATCTCTTCATGCTGCTTCTATTGTTCCAAATTTACAAAAAAACCCAAGGCTTCACAAGCTGTTTTCTTTATTTGCTTGGAGCTGACCGCTCAACAGTTCTGTCTCAACATCCCTTCATAACAAAAAGAAGGACAAAATACACCTCATAAAGCCACCGTATCATCACACTTACCCCCTTAAAAGAATGAACCATTAATAAATGATGTCATTTTTAAAAACCGTTAGTCTTATGCAATTAACATACATCAATACATATATATTACATTGACTCTGAGTGTGCAAAGATTAAATACCACAGTCCATTTCAATCCATTTCTTCTACCACTGAACACCTTCATTACTGTCATGACAATGCATTGGCAATGGCGTTCTCTTGTCCTGCCACATGTATAATTTTCAAATTTACAGGTTGCAATATTAAAAACCATCTAAATAAACTAATTTTTATCCTTAAATTTTTCCAAGAACTTTAAGTGGTTATGATTAGTACACGCAATTGTCTCAGACATTTTACTGTAAACATAGATGTTGAAATGTTGCAATACCAACACTAAAAGCATGATCTCGTTTTCAGTTCTGGAATGTTTCTGTTGATGAATATTCAGCTTTTTGGAAAAATATACAACATGTCTTTCTATCTTCTCAATGTCATTTTGCAAGAGTACAGTACCAACACCCACATTACTCTTATTGATAGTGACCTTGAATGACTTTGTGTAGTTAGGTATGGCCAACACTGGGGCAGTGGTTAACACAGCTATCAGGTTGTCAAATGCCTTCTGACATTCCTCCATCTATTGAAATTTTCTGTACTTCTTCAACAAGTCAGTCAGTGCAGCAACTTTGGATAAAAACCACGCAGTCTCAGGATTCGTAGTACTTCCCACTTCATCAATGGTGTGGGAAACTCCCCAAAATCCTTTGTTTTCACATCCTGTGGAACCATTTGTCTATGGCCTAAGAACATGACTTGGGCTTTTGCAAACTCACTCTTAGCCAGGTTTATCACCAAGCCTGTCTCCCTAAGTCAATCAACAATTCCGATAGATGCTCCATATGTTCCATGTGTGACTAAACATCACTATATTGTCTGCATATACCACATAATTGGGTAACCCCAAAATGACTTGATTGGTTAGTCTTTGACATGTGGCTGGCATATTCTTTATACCAAATGGCATGGCTTTAAACTGGTACAGCCCATTTAGTATCATGAAAGCCAAAATTTCCTTCAATCTTTGGATAAAGGTACTTGCCAGAATCCTCTGAGTAAGTACAACTTAAAAATATAAGTTGCTTGTCCCAACTTCTCAATACAGTCTTCCAAACATGAAATAAGATAGGAATCAGAATTTGTAATTGCATTGACTTTCTGATAGTCCACACATAATCATTTCGATTTTCCTCTGGTCAATAATTTATGTCAATTTTGAGAACTTCATCATTGTTGAGAAAAATTTGAAGAATGCCCAATTCAGAATCAACTGAATTTGATTCTTCACTGTGTGTTGTAACCAGTGACACATTCTTCTTTTGCTTTCCTTCCCTATCAAAATACCTTTTGAGCATAGTCACATGACACACACTGCAAAATTTCTTTCTATCTAGCATTCTCATCAAATAATTCACCTCACCCAATTTCTTTTCAATTTGATAAGGACCACTAAACTTTGTCTTTAAAGGTTCATGTACCACTGGAAGTAACACTAACACATTATCTTCACTAGCAAAACTGCAAATTTTTGATTTTTTGACTGCTTCCTGTTTCCTGCTGTGTTACTTTTAAATGCTGTCTAGCCAACTACTTATCTATTTAGTCTTTCCCTAAAATTTGATGCATAGTCCAAATATGTGATCTCTGAACTCTGACTCACCATTTTGCCCTAAATTAATTTCAGCGGTTTTCTCACCTCATGCCCAAAAACTGATTCAAATGAATTGAATTTAGTTGATGCATTTGGTGCATCCCTCATTGCAAAAAGTACAAATGGAATTCCTTTATCCCAATCCTCTGGATAGTCTTGACTGCAAGCCCTCAACATGGTCTTTAAAGTTTGATGCCATCGTTCTAATGCTCCCTGTGATCCTAGATGGTATGCAGTGGATTTGAATTGTTTTATTCCAATGCTATCCATAACTTCCTTGAATAACTTTGATGTAAAATTTGACCCTTGATCTGATTA